TATGGACTTTTTGGGGTACTGCAGTTTTTCGCCGTTTCACGGACGCATGCAATTTGTAACCTGGGCATGTTGGGTATCGTTTTACTCGTTGTAACCTCATCTTTTATATTTCATTAAAAAATTGGTATTTTGTTTTGGGGCATTTAATTAAATGTTTCACTAAATGTTGTGGTTTAATAAGGAGTTGCGCTAATGTTGCGCAACATAAAAATTTGCAACTACCACCATTTTATTCTATAGGGTCTTGGCATTCAGAAAATATATAATGTTTGGGGGTTTTAAAGTCATTTTCAGACCTAAAATGTGGAATATAACATGGGTGCAAAAAAATGAAAAAAAGGCCTCAGTCATGAAGGGGTTAAGGGTTGAGGCTCGACCCTGTTGGAAATTGGGTCTCCTGCAAAAACCCAATGTCGGCCCGTTGTCTATAAAGATCCTCTAGGATCATGGTTAGTTTCTCTGCGATATTAAGGCGCTTCACATTTAGTGAAAGGAAACAGTAAGATCACATAATGACAGAGGGGATGGATGGGTATAAAGAAAAATAAAGAGGGGGAGCCTAAGAGAACATGAAGGAGATGAAGAAATAGAAAATATTTCTAGGAGACAGAGGGCAAGAAAGGGTGAAGAGGAGCAAGAAAGTTGGAAAAAGGAGACTGGTTAGTGCACCATTGGGGATGTGTTAGGTGTGTTGTGGCTGTGATGCCGTTTCTTGCGTTGTTAGACCGGGGTGTCTAACGGTGTGATGCTGAACGGAATTTGCGCTCCTTCCCTCCCTTACTTTCTGAAGAGGAGCAAGAAACTTTAAGGGGAATCGCAGTTTCATGTACCTCTAAAGCTGTACCTGTCGGACCTAAGGGGTAAAACTATTGGGGAAATGGATCTAGACGGGCCCCATAGGGAGCTCCATAGCAGTATTAATACATTATTAAGAGTGTGAACATGAAAAAACACAATAATAGCTAATCATGACGCACTGCTTCCGTGGAAAAAGGCAAAATTCCCAGACTGAACTAAAAACACAGCGACCTCCGCTCATGAGCAAAATGCCCCCACCGAGAGCAGGTCGACAAAAACTTTTAAACAATACAAACATGAATAAGGAAACCTATTCTCCCATCACCAAACGTTTCTTGAACAAATCTACGCTCTTGGCTGAAATCACTCCCGATGGCAGTGAGTTCCAGACCTTAACCACTCTTACTGTAAAGAACCCTCTTCGCCAATTCCAGCACAATGGGCGAAGAGGGTTCTTTACAGTAAGAGTGGTTAAGGTCTGGAACTCACTGCCATCGGCAGAGATTTCAGCCCAGAGTGTAGATTTGTTAAAGAAACGTTTGGACAATTTCTTGAGGGACCGTAATATCCAGGGATACCAGTATCCCTAAGAATGAGATGATGCATGGACCTATATGGGTTGGACTTGATGGACGTATGTCTTTATTCAACCCCAAATACTATGTAACTATGAGAGCAGGTCGATAAAACTTTTAAACAATACAAACATGAATAAGGAAATCTATTCTCCCATCACAAGAGCAAAGTGCAAAGCCATCCAGATACCCCGGAACTCCAGTGAAAAACAACCTTAAGTCAAGGGTGTGTGGTGCCTACCCAGTGAGGCAGGAGGGAATAACTGCAATAAATTGTCTCACGAAAACAAGAGTACGGTACGGTGGAAAAGCTCCCAATTGTCAAGGGAGCTGGAGTAGGTAGTAATGTAGCATCTCCCGAAAAACAGTCCCTAACATCTGACAGCAGGCATCCTCCCAAGTCGGGCTATAGAGCACTCAAGGACATCCAGGAGAGGACTAAAGTTGCAGGTACACAGAGGCTATAGTCCAGCGGGAGAAAAAAGCCCAAATGCAAAGGGAGCCGAGGCATGGAATAACAAAAGGTCTCCAGGAAACAGCCCCTAACACATGACACAGTGGTAGACTTTCTAGACCAGGCTGCAGATCAGTCTCGGACATCCAAGGCAGATAACCACAAGTTCACACAGCCCAGGAAAGGACAAAGGTGGTAGGTATGTAGGGGCTATAGGCTACAGGGCCGGTGCAAGGATTTTTGCCAACTCAGGCGAAGGTGCATTTTGCTGCCCCCCCACCGACCATGAAAAACATTGACAACGTTTTCCATTGTCGATTGGTTGCAGCTCTATATTATTGCTGGGATTGGTAGTCCTCTATAGCTGGTGGTATTCTCCATTGCGCTGTATAATGATTATACTGTGCAATGCAGATTACCACTGACCAGTTATAGAGGAACTACAAATCCCAGCAATAATACATTATACAGCGCAATGGAGAATACCACCAGCTATAGAGGAACAACAAATCCCAGCAATAATATATTAAACACCCTGTATAATGTATTATTGCTGGGATTTGTTGTTCCTCTATAGCTGCTGGTGTTCAGCATTGTGGCGCTGTATTATACAATACACAATACAATATACAATGCACAATACAATACACTTTACACAATATATTATACAATGCACAATATAATACTGTATTGTATTGTGCATTGTATATTGTATTGTGTATTGTCAATACACAATACAATATACTGTATATACAATGCACAATACAATACAAAATAATAAAATACAATGCAGCATAACACGTGCACTTTGTCTTTGTTACATTACATACCGCTCCCACTTCAGCCAGCTCCCGATCCCGATTCCCAATACGAGTCCGACCGTGGGTCACCGAGAGAGGGTGAAATCGCCTCCTCGCTCAGTTCCAACTTCCTTCCAAATGTGTGCACCGGCCACCGGGCAGCTCCCGAGTCACTCAACAGGTCGCCGTCGCCTCCAGGATGACGCCACTGCCTCCACACTGCCTGCTGGTCCGGTCCATCCGTTGCTCCGCCTCCTGCAGTCCTCGCTCCAGTCCTTCACATGCGGCTGAGCGGCCAGGGGAACCAGGGGCGGGGCCACTTACGTCACTCACTGACGTAGCCAAGGAAGGACGAGACACTCAGTGAGACTGTCACTGAGTCTGAGACGTGAGACTGCACAGGTCAGCGCCGCTGCGGCGGGCGGCCGGGGACTCGTCCTTCAGATGCAGCCCGCCCGCCCGCAGCGGCAGCCCACACACTGAGTCTCGTATCGATCGGGCGTCTGTCACTTTTCCGCCCTGTTCCCTGGCGCCGTAAGGGCAAGTGCCCATCTTGCCTTGCGCTAGCCCCGGCCCTGATAGGCTATCACAGTAAAAGTTCCCAAGTGCAAGGGGAGCAGAAACAGCTAAAACAAATGAGCTTCAGTCTGAAGAAAGCTAGCTTGAGCAAGAGGCAGGACTCCGAGTTACGAGCTCCCGCAGCAAAGCAACTTCAGGCCTCAACAGAGGAGTTTTGATCTGTGGACCTCTAGTACTAATCCTCCAGCAAAGTGGGAGGGTCTGGAGCGAGGAGGCCATCCTTGCCTCAGTGTGGGACGGTCACCTTTCGGCAGAAGGCACAGCTAGTCCTCAGGCGGAAAGAGGTCAATTTGTAAGAAGTTGCAGAGGGCCGGAATATCCGCAGGCGCGTGGAATATGTGAGATGCCTTATGAACAGTTAAATGGAATGGGTAGCCACATCTATATGTAGCCCCACCGCTGCAAATCTGGGCCAGCACTTTACGTAGAGCATTTTCCACACCGTAGACCGGGGCCTTAAAGTTCACCTTTTGACGGTAGATATTTCAAAAGGGCCTGTAGCCCATCCGGAACGTCAGAAGGAAGGTCAGTTGAAGAGCAGTGATAAGCGTTCTTGGTATCTGAGTCATACAGCCTTGGTGAGTGATGGCATGGGAGCAAATCACTCAGTGAAGGAGAAAGTCTGCCCATTGTCATGTTAGCGGGAGCACACGGGGAGGGAGCTGGCGCCATCTTAGGCCTACCACGATCTTGAGATGTTGAGGCTCTATGCATGAAAAAGTTCTGTAGCAAGGAATCTGCCGGCAGCGCTCCAGTACCTCTGTCCTTCCTCTGTTTAGGCATCACAAAAGCAGGTGTAGCAGTCGGGAAATCACAACAGATAGCTAGTACACTGATACTGTGGAGCTCACATGGTGAGCACCTCATGCCACCATGTTCAGCACACACTCCCTTCCAAAGTTTTTAGTCTCCGGTTTATTAAATCTCTATTTCACTGTTTTTTTCTTTCTCAAATCTGTTTCTACCATGTCCCTGAATACCTCCAGAAGATTGGAATTAGACTGAAAATTCCTCCTGGATTGGTTTTTGTAGTGGGCCCTGGCAATGTGTTTAGGCTTTCTCACAAATTTGTTTAACTCCATATATGTAGTGAATTTATCTATATTCTTAACTGCTGCAAATTTCAGGCCCAGGCCAAGAACACTGGTCTCCTCAAGAGTCAACTGCCCTGAACTTAAGTTAAAGATGCCTTTTCCTACCAGTTTCATCTTCTTACGCCGAATTCTCGTTCCCCCCTACATTGTGTATTGCTCAGCAGTAGATCCTCAAATCATCTCTGAATTAGTGTTGACACTACTTCTTTCTGGAGGGTGGCTACTTTTTTTCTCCATGCTCCCTGTGTGTTATAAATTAGCCACTGCACTAAGCTCACTCCCGTGATAGACTACAATCTTGCATTGAGTTTATTGATTTATATTGAGATTGTGGTCCATCACAGGAATGGGTTTGGAGCTGTGGCTACTTTACAACACACACAGGGACCATGGGGGGAATGAAAGTAACCACCCTCCAGAAGGAAGGACAGTCACCAGGAATTCAGAGATGATTTGATGATCATGATCATGACTGACCTGCTCTATATCATCAGGGTTACATATACAGGTTTAAAAAAATACACAAGCCCATCGTGTTCAACCTAGAAACATCATGTTCAACTTAGGGTCATTGCCCTTCTCCATAATGTGTCTATTAATATTGCATTCTGTGACAAATAGTCATCTTTCGTTGTTTAAGTCATTAGTTAAGTATTTTTTTGCAGTTTGCCATACTTCTTTTTTTTTTTTTTTTAAACAGAAATCAATAGAATCGGAAACAATGAAGACATCAGAAGTGTTCCGAAAAAAGTTTGGATCGCTTTCAGACACTGTCAAGGAGGTAATGATCTAGCAGAATTTGTGTGCTGCTTTTCAATTTTTTTTTTGTTCAGTGTTTAGATAGATTAGTATATAACAGGTCATTTGAGTAACAACGATGAATACAGAATGAGTTATATTACATAGCTAAGTCGATGCATACCAATGCCCTTTTTAATCGAGTGTTAGGTAAGAAGTGAATAGCACGAGCACCACTGATGTACTTAGTGTTTTAACAAGGTCAGAAGAGCATGATAAGAAGCTGCAGTGGTGGCTTTTATCCAACAAGCATTGTCCAATGTCCATAGAGGGACCGTAACCTATGTCCTCTACTCATAAGTGAGCATAACTGCTGAAATCCAGGGAGTAATTAATGTGCCAAGACCTTTGCAAGGTATTAGCATAGTGGAGCTGTACCTCAACACTTATGGTTGGGTATAAGAACACCGTCTAAGGGATAATTTAATATGGACGGAGTTGTGCTGATGAGCTAACATGGCCTGAGGTGAGTCTGTGGCCTTGTTGTTTAGGTAAACCTAAAATGGGGCAAAAATAAAACAGATAGATTAGAATTTAACAGAGTTAATTTGAGTAACATAAAGCAATTCATCCAGAAGTCACACTATGTAACTGAGCAGTTGAACACTAGTGTCGTCTTTATCTGAGGGAGAGGTAGGACGTGACTAGCATGAAGAACACCCATGTACTTGGTATTTTAACCAGGCCAAAAGAACATGATAAAGCTACAGAGGCAGCATTTATCTGACAACCAAGGTCCATAATTGAGGGGGACCACAAACTAGGTCTTCTACCTATCAGTGAGCCTTACTAAATGTGGCTGCCATTGTGAATGCAGCTTCTCCAGCACAGAGTTGGTGCAATGTGGAGTTGGGAATATCTTAATATTAGTGATACACCGATACCACATTTTTAAGTAGGAGTACCGATACTTTTTCCCAAGTACTCGCCGATACCAATTACCGATACTTTTTCTTAAAGGGACAGGTCACATTTTTTCTAAAGCAATACAAAATCATGATTTTAGGTCAGTTTCTTAATATTATGAAGAACATGAACACTCTGTAGTGTGGCACAGCTATATCCAATTCTGCATACCTGGCTTTATATTATAAGAACTTTATAATATAAAGCCAGGTATGCAGAATTGGATACAGCTGTTCCACACTATACAATAATACACTGTTCTGGAGTCTGGACATGTGATAATCTATTTTCCCCACTAGGGGGATACAAGCCTTAGTTAGCAATGGCATGATAAATATTAATTTC